TCTGAAGTGAGAGGGCAGGAAGAGCCACCCAAACCCTCCAAGCAGTGAGGTCTGCTGGGCCTCCTGGGAGGAGGAGTTGCCAGAGCTGCTGGCAGAAGAACCCAGGGAAAGCATCATGGCCAGGACCATTCTGGGGGTCAGCACCAGGGTCAGCACGTGAGTCTTGCTCCCATTCCACCCCAAGCTTGCGTCAGCCACAGGGAGAATCTTTGGCGCTTCTTGAGAGCAGGATTTCTGGTCCTAGCTTTGCCTGGTTCACTGTGACTTGGGGGATGAAGAACTTAGACTGGAAATGAATGCTCAAACACCTGCGCTGTGTCAGGAACCATGCTGGGGGACCGTGGGTTTTCATGGCCCCACCTTTGTCTGGGTGCCTTGCGGGAGCTCCTTGGGCCATAGGGGTGAGCCATCCCCGGAGCCCAGGGTGGGGCACTCTGACCTTGAAGGGCATGAGTGTTCTCGCCGTCGGTCATGCCGGAAGAGCCTCAGGACTGGGAGTGGGGACTGTGTTCCATCCCCTGGCATCTGGGGGAGTTGGGCTGGGCCTGCAGCATAGAGGTTCCCTGAGGAGTTGGGGCAGGGTAAGGGGTGGCTGTGTGGAAGCTGCCACTGTTTACTGTGGTGGCTGCAGTGGCAGGTCAAGAAGAAACAAGTTGGTGACAGGCAGCTTTTAGACAGTACTTGGGCATTCCAGACTCAAGGGGGTGTGTCTGAGGACCCCCTCTCCCCGCCCTTCTGCAAGGTGCAAACAACCAACCTGACTGTTGGATTAAGGCAAGCACTTCTTGTTCACCAACCAGGGGGCTCAGACACAGCTAGTGGTGGTGACAGCGTTGCCAGCAGAGCAGTGACACACACCAGGCACTGATTTGTGAGTCAGTACCCTGTGGAGCCCCTCAGAAATGACAGGGGGACCTTGTGACAGGGGCTAATGTCCAGTAAATCTCCTGGGTCATAATGGTTCGCATGGAAAGGAAGTATAACCTTGGCCTTCTGTATCCACAGCTCCCCCATCTGCAGATGCAACCAACATGGCTGGAAAATGGAAAAACATTTACATCTGTACTGTGCAACTATTTCCATAGCATTTCCATTGGGTAGGTATTACAAGTCACCTAGAGACATGCACAGTACACAGGAGGATGTGCATGTGGTCTATGCAAATCCTGTACCATTGGATGTCAGGGATGTGAGCAACCACAGATTTAGTGCCCCTGGGAGTTCCTGCAACCAATTCACCATGGACACTGAAGGACAACTCTATCATTTTGTAACTTTTCAAGTTTATTTATTTATTTGAAAGGCAGAGAGGAGGGGGGGAGAGAGAGAGAGAGAGAGATTGATCTTCCATCTGCTTGTTCACTCCTTAAGTGTCTGTAACAGCTGGGATTGGGTTGGGTAAAAGCCGGAGCCACGGCTCACTTGGCTAATCCTCTGCCTGCGGCGCCGGCACCCCAAGTTCTAGTCCCTGTTGGAGCACTGGATTCTGTCCCGGTTGCTCCTCTTCCAGTCCAGCTCTCTGCTGTGGCCCGGGAAGGCAGTGGAGGATGGCCCAGGTGCCTGGGCCTCTGCACCCACATGGGAGACCAGGAGGAAGCACCTGGCTCCTGGCTTAGGATCAGCACAGCGCCAGCTGCAGCGTGCTGGCCATAGCGGCCATTTAGGGGGTGAACCAATGGAAAAGGAAGACCTTTCTCTCTGTCTCTCTCACTGTCTAACTCTGCCTGTCAAAAAAAAATTAAAAAAAAAAAAAAGCTAAGAACTGGAGCTCCATCTGGGTTTCTCACCTGCGGGCAGGGACCTAAGTACTCAAGCCATCGCCTGCTGCCTCCCAGAGTGTACATTTGCAGGAAGCTGGAGAAGGAAGAGGTGAGACTCAAACCCAAGGCATCCAGGTATGGCAGGTGGGCAGCCCAAGTGCTGGCCTAACCTGCTGCACCACCATGTCTGCCACACGGGGGACGACTTTAATTCTATCTTTGAGTTCAGGGATACATGGATCATATATCACTTCTCTTTTCTATCACAGTATCCTTCAAGGTGAATAGAGCTAATTATTATGCCCACTTCACAGGTGAAGAAACTTATGTCCAGAGAGGTTATGTCAGTGACTTCCAGTTTTAGGATCTCAGAGATGAGTGAGCTAAAACAAACAAACAAAAAAACTGGGAGGGAGCCGGTGTTGTGGCATAGTGGAATAAGTCTCCACTTGTGATGCCAGCATTCTGTATGGGTGCCGATTCATGTCCCGGCTGCTCCTCTTCTGATTCAGCTCTCTGCTCTGGCCTGGGAAAGCAGTAGAAGATGGCCCAAGTCCCTGGGCCCCTGCACCTGCATGAGAGATCCGGAAGAGTCTCCTGGCTCCTGATTGGCCCAGCTTTGGCCATTGTGGCCATTTGAGGAATGGGTCAGTGGATGGAAGACTTTTCTTTCTTTCTCCCTCTCTCTGTAACTCTACCTCTCAAATAAATAAATGAATAATTTTTTTTTTTTTAAATTGGGAGAGTATACACGGGTTACTAACTTTAGTTTTCCTAAGTCAAGAAATTTTAAAATTTGTAAGTATATATATCTACATTCACCATCACTGTTTGGTAAAAGAAAAGATATTTTAGTGTCAAAAATGTAGCAGACATTAACCAGATTAAAGGCCGAACTATTAAACTTTATAAAGTGATATTGTTGTGGCCCAGTGGAAAGTCCTATACTTCTTACTTCCTGGGTGATTGGTCAGATGGTCTTTCAGTAGTGCTGACTCTTGGAGCAGAGGTTGGGGCCTCAGGTGCTGAATGACCTGTCCATGGCCATGATCACTCAGCCAGCAAGAGGCCCTGACTCCAAGACCTGCCTTCTGGATGTCCCGCATGTGTCTGTTCCACCGAGGCCAAGGCACGGGGGGCCCCCAGAGCCATCCATGTGCTGTTATCCAGGGCCCTCCAGGTAAGCATCCAGGCCTTGTCCAACTGGGCTTGGTGATTGGCAGAAGGAGCTACTGGTGACACCAGCACAGAGGACCGGGGGAGCTCAGTGCCATGCGTCTTTCTGTGCACCAAAATACGGCCCGAAGAACTGAGTGCTTGCTAGGACACAAGCAGCTGAAGAGGAAGGTGACCCCGTACAGCCTTGGAGCACCGTGCATCACCCACTCCGCCTTCCCAGGCCGCTGCTGTGGGACTTGGGGCTCCCCCCGCTGTCCTGCTTGCCTGAAGCACAGACCTCTTCACTCTCCCCAATGTACAGGCTCACACGAGTCCCAGAACAAGCCACTCATGGCTCCCCACGCTCAGAGAACCACACAGTACTCACCCTTTGAGGAATGCTCCCATTTTAAATACATAGGAAGCAAAGCAGCTCCTAGAACCCTGCTCTTCTCAACTCCAGCCCGAGCTGACAGTCTACAGATCCAGAGAACTTCGAGTCTAGTCCCTCCCGTCCTAGCTTGGGAGCCTCTTCACTTCTCTAAACCTCAGTCTTTTCATCTAAAAAATGGGCCAAACAAATCTGAGCCTGCTCGCAATCTCACAGGGACTAAGGAAGCTACGTCTATGTGGCACCTGGCACTGTGCTGGGCACGTTGCTTGTACCAGGCTCCGTATAGATTTCCTTCCTCGAGCAGTTTGCTTCCTCTCTAAGGCCCAGTGCCGTCTCTTTCCGGGGAGGGGGTATGGTTGGATGATACACGACAATGCACGTACATAAAAAGTTTAGCCCAGTACTTAGCACCCAGAAGCAACCACGATGAGCCCATTCTCATTATCAGCCTCTTCTTTCTATCTTCCCTTCTTCCCTGTAAAGACGGCCCCTCCTCCAGCTGGATAAGTGAATAGTGCCCTGGGTAGGGCATGCCATGGGGTGAGTATGTGGGCGAGGGGCTGGCAGGGACAGTGAGCCCATTGCTCTGGCCTGCGGCTGGGAGGTGGTCAGCAGCCTCAGAGCCCTGCAGCGTGAAGTCCACTCCATGGCCTGCCTGCCCCACCCTGAGCAACTTGATTAGGGTCACATTGGGAATACAAGCTGTCTCAACAACCTGGACACCCATCTCTGCCCTCCTACATGGCTTCCTGGATTCTTGGTCTGGAGCACTGGTGAGGAGCTCTGGCCACTTAGACACGTGCCGTGCAAAGGCCCCCTCACCCTGACTTCAGACGCTGGCCAGGTGATCTCAGAGCTGCAGGCCAGTGGCATGTAGCAGGGACAAGGGGGCTCTCCCACGGGGGGAATGTGTCACTGGATCCTTGGCTGCCTGTTTGGGAGGATTTAGGCCGACCCATGGGCCATGAATACCAAGCAAGCAAACTAATATGCTTCCCAAAGACACACTCAACCTGATGCCAACTCCACCATTTCACAGAGTGCTGCAACTGCTCCAGAGTTGGAGACAGCCCTGGGTTCAAAAGGGGGCTCTGCGGCTCTCCCACTAACTGACTATGGGTGTTTGCTCGTCATTCAAAACCTCAACTTCCCGATGCATGGACTAAGTTGTCACTGTGGTGGAAACTAGACTGGAAATTGATGATAGCTCATTGTCTATTTGACAATGACCCAGTCAGGGCAAAGCACATGAAGAAGGAGAGCCAGGCAGGGGACAGCGTCTCCTGATGCAAATCCTGGCTCAGTCTCTCATGAGTCAATTGGTTAACGTCTCCCTGCCTCAATTTCTCTCCCTGTAATCAGGGGTAGTGACAAAACCACTTCAAAGGGCTTTACACTGTGTCATCATTTAGTGAAAAGTGCTTGGAACAACAGCGCCTACTAAGTGCTCACTGCATGTTGGCTATTAATAACAGCATCAAGTGATTTATCAGAAGTTCAGATCAATTCCTGCAGTGCGGCCTCTGGGAGACCTGGTATCGCTCTGCCTTTCGCAAATGACAGATGGACAGAGGGCGCGAGACCTGAACCCTTTGCCTGCATGAGCTCATTCCTGAGCAGAGGAGCTGCGTTTTGTAAGAATCACCATTACTGGAACACGCTGGCCCTCTGCCAGTCACACTGTAGACTTTACCACTGATCCTCACAGCCACCCTCTGAAACAGGCGTTATATCCCCATTTCCCAGAGAAGGGAATGGAGGATCAGAGAAGTGAAGTGGCCTGCCCAAAGGAGAACTGCAGGTAGGAGGGGGCGAGATGCTAACACTGGGAGCCGGTGTTGTGGTGCAAACAAGGTAAGCCACCAACTCAACACCGGCATTTCATATCGGAGTGCCTGCGCCGGTCTCAGCTGCTCTGCTTTTAACCCAGCTCCATGCTAATGCGCCTGGGAAAGCGGAGGAAGGTGGCCCACGTCCTTGGGTCCTCGCCACCCATGTGGGAGACCTGGATGGAGTTCCAGGCGCCTGGCTTTGGCCTGGTCCAGCTCCAGCTGTTGTGGCCATTTGGGGAGTGAACCAGAGGATGGAAAGTCCCTGTCCCTCTCTCCCTCTCTCTCTCTCTGATGGTCTACATTTCAAATAAACAAAATAAGTCTGTAAAAATAAATAAGATTCTAACATGGGGTCTGTCTGGCTGTCCAGCCAAAGCCGCCTCACTTCCCTAAGTGGAGTAGGGGTCTGTGTTACTCTGTGTGTGAGTACAGGGAGTGTCCCTGAGACTCATTCAAGCTCCACTGGCCAGGCTTGGGCAGTGGATACCAAAAATAAAGCTGGAGGTTTGGGGGGGGGGTAAAAAAAAAACCTAAAAACAATAAACAGTGATTCAGACTGAGTCGGCAGTCACCAGTTACGGGAAACGGGGCACAGTGACAGCCTTAGTCATGGAGGAATGGCCGAGGCCCTGACTCACGGGCAGCAGTGGGTCACGCTGCTCAGGACAGAAGCCAGCTCTGCTCTCGCTGCCAAGAAGGCCAGGGAAAGCTCGGCTGTGTGTGTGTGTGTGGGGGGGGGGTAGATAGGGGAGGAAAGGGAGGCTGAACCACAGCCAGCGCCAGCGCCTGGGAGGGAGGAGTCTGAATAACTGTGGCTGCCAAGTGTGACGGCCCCGCCCCCTTTCTGAGCTCCCCTCTTTCCCAAGCTGACTTCGCTCTGTTCTCACTCAAACAGCACCCCTCCTCCCAGCCCAGCCCAAGGGGATGACCCACTCTGCCCAGATGCCCAGGGATGTCTGTGCCCCTTAGAGCCCCCTCCCCACCCAGCCCTTGCCCAGACTGGGTGGCTCTCCTCCGGGGGTCTTCCTTTGTACCTTCAACTCTAAATCCAGGATTTAGGGAGCACACACTATGCGTGAAGCCCCATGGGGGAGGCTGGAACTGCACAGAAGGATGGGACTCAGCCCCTGCCTTCAAGGACGCCCACAGCCCACAGCCCACAGTCTGTTCCTATGGGAAATCAGGACACAGGCAAGGACAGGAAGTGCACAGGGGTGTGGGGGGCTAAGGGGCCCGAAGCACTCTGGGAACCCTGGGAGGCTCCCTGGAGAAGGTGATGTTTGAGCTGAATCTCAAAGAGTAATTAGTCAAGGGGTAGTAGGGGTGGATTGGGGAAGAATAGAATAGTTTCTCAGGCCTGTGGTGTGGCACAGCAGGTTACGCTACCACTTGCATTGCCAGCATCCTATAAGGGTGTTGGCTGCTCCACTTCCCATCTAGTTCCCTACTAATGCACCAGGGACAATCGCAGAAGATGGTCCATTTGCTTGGACCGCTATACCCACATGGGAGACCTGAATGAGGTTCCTGGCTTCTGGCTGGCCCAGCCTGGCCATTACAGCCATCTGGGGAATGAACCAGTGAATGGATGATCTTACTCTCTCTGTCTCTGTCTCTGTCTCTCTATCTTTCTCTGTCTCTCTCTATATATATAACCCTACCTTTCAAATAAATAAAATAAATCTTAAAAAAAGAGCAATTTCTTTACTTAACTCTCAAAAACTTAGGTAATACAAGTTTGTTGTATAGACAAATGGAGAAAAATGAATTAAAAACAGAAAGGCAAAATAAGATCTCCAAAATCTTATTAAAGGTAATTCCTTCCAGCCCTTTCTCTAGTTCTATATATATGCATGTGCATTAAAACTAAACCAAAACATGTTCATCTGTTTTGCAACCTACTTTTTTATCTGTCAATGTTTTGTGGGTTCTTTCCATGTCAATAACTATCAGTTGACTTGATATAGGGGTCCCGTCTAACCTGGCCCGAGAGAGGCTTAGTTTGGCTCGGGAAGGCAGCTGGGAAGTTCTGAACGCGCACATCAGGCACTGTGGAATGTGCCCCTCAGTCCATCATAGGCCCCACCCCTCCCTGTTGTCTCACACTGAGGACATCTGCCTCCCTGATGGCATCACCTACCTGACCTGTCCAGGCCTCAGTGTTTTGAGTCCCTGGGAATCAACATTTGAATGGCTACGTGGTCTCCCAGAATCTGACCCACCTGGGTTGACCAGGCATCTTACGCATCAAACTCTTAGGCACGGGGTCTAGTCTTGGCTGCTGCCTTCTCTCTGCATCTGTGGGTTCCTCAGATGTGGGATCTTCATCTGATGTTCCTCTCCCTCCCCTTCTGCCACAGAGCCTGGCACAGTGCTCTCATGAGCTATGCGCAACAGTGGGGCCCTAAACAGCCAATGGACGTTGAAGAGGGACGTTGAAGTCAGGGTCAGGCCTTTACTCCTCCTAATGCAACTTCATCCGGGTCCTGTGGTGAGACCGAGGGCGTGGGCTCTGGAGCAAGCCTGCCTGGGTGCAGATCCCAGTTCCAGCTCTTGCGAGGGCTGGTGAGTTATTTGGGCTTCCCAGGCTTCGATTTCCTCTGTGCACACTGGGAACATGAACAGTTCTCACGTTTCTGTGGTGTAGTCAAAGGCCTTATCGCCACATAAATGGCTGCTTTTCTTCTGACCGTCTGTCTTGTGCTCTCTGCAGGTGTGAGCTGTGGCTCTCAACTCCCGCTGAGGGAGGTCCCCCAAGCCACCTCCTCTCCCTCCTGTTCCTGGGGGAGAGTCTCTCCCTGCAGAGAGGGGTCTCCGCCTGGTCCCAACCTGACCATGGGGATGCAGGCTCTTCTCTTTGAAAGAGAAGGCTACTGCAAGTGTGATTATTGCTTTCTAGGCCTTGGGGAAAAACCACAGTGGGTTAAACCAGGGCTCAGCCAATCTTTCTATAAAGGGCCCAACAGGAAATCTTTCTGGCTTTGTCCATCAGAAGGTCTCTGTTGCCATCACTCAGTTCTGCCCTTGTAGCCTGAAGGCAGCCGCAAGCAATCTGTCAGTGGTCACAGCTATGTTCCGATAAAACTTTATTTACAAAAACCTACCAGCTAAGTTTGGCCCAGGAGCCATAGCTGGCTGGCTCCTGGGTGGCCGGACCACAGACACTTGCAGTCAGGGCCTGTGGCCTTCTGCTCCGCTGTGAGAGCGAGAACCTTCTTTCCTGCCTGCAGCTTCTGTTTTGCATTAATCAACTGAGGAGACTGACAGGTAATATTTGAGAGCCGTTCCATCTCGATCCTTCCAGGCCTGGTAGGTTGTGCGACCTTGGGCAAGGCCTGCTCCTCTCTCAGCCTGTCTCCTTCTTAGTAAAATGAAGAGGGTACATGGGTTACTGAGCCCTGATCACTTGCCTGGGAAGAGCTCTTGGGCTGGGAAGGCCCCTGAGTTGGCCACAAGGCCATCCCACTAGACAGCCTGACAGCATCTTTGTGGCCAGCAGCCTTTATTCTGCCCATCAGAAGCAATGCCCTGACCACACACACACACACACACACACATACACCCAGAGTCACAGGGCACTCTTGTGGCCTTTATGTTCTAGGAAATGTCTTAAAGATCTGAAGAGAGGCAGGAGTCAGGAAGCTCTCCAGGCCTAACCAGATGCTGCTTTTATCCTCATAAAAGGGGGGGCCAGCTGCTCTGGCCTCACCCACACCGAGGCAGCCCTTAGAAGATGAATCAAGTGGCCAGTGGGAACGACGGCAGCCTTGTGGCTGACCACCGATGGGCAGGACTGGGCCAGCCTCAGCGACGCCACCATCAGCCTGGGCAACTCCACTGGGCAGATGCCTCCACCCCACAGAGCACAGGACGTCCACGCCTTCCCCGGGGTATTGGAATAACAAAGGCTGTGTCCCAGCACCATTGTACAGTGGGGGGAAGGCCGGAAGCCAAGCTGCAGGAAACTGGTTGCTATGGTTTCCTTGAGCGTAATGCCACAGAAATTGCATTCTAAAAAAAAATATTTTAAAGGCCTCTGTTGTTTCTCTCTGGGAGAGGTAAGGAGAGATATATTTACTTCACTATTTACGATAAGCAAGGCATTGAGCTGGCTTCTAAATCCTCACAGCAAGCCACAAGCTTTGGTCCTGTGAGCACCATTTTGCAAATGAGTGTAGAAACAGAGGGGCTGAGACAGCTGCACACACACACACAGCTGGCAGGGGAAAGAGCCAGTTTTGAACACAAGGCTGTCACAGTCTCCTTTGCGAATACATGCACACACACACACACACACACACACACACTGAGAGCCAGGAGATCTGCAACCCAGAATATTTGCCATAGGAGGCCAGGTTCCAGAAAAGGGAGTGAGACAGAGGAGCCAGGGGACAGGGAAGGAGCAAAAGGGAAGTTCAGACTGTCGAGCAATGAGGACTCAGCTGGCTTCTGCTGGACTAGACAAGGCTCTCAGTGCAGGGGAGAGGAATACAGGATTTAGAATCAAAGGGCCTGGGGTTCTACTTCCTCCACGCAAAGCCTCAGTTTCCACATCTGTAAAATGGGCGTGACAATCATATCTGTCTCATAGGGTTGTTATACAGATGAAGTGAAATAACACATCAATTAAACAGTACAGAGTCAGCCTTCAATATATGCTAGCATCCTTGCTATTGTTACCATCAATTACATGATTATGAAAACTCAATTATGAATTAAGAATTGCTGGGCAAATATCAGTTAATTTAAGGGAGACTTGGGCTTTTGGGGGGCTGATGGAGGGAGCAAAGCGAAACCCTCCAGGGCCCCAGGAATGGCTGCACAGGCGGGATACCCCACAACCTACACAGCTGCCCGTGGTGGCCCTGTTTACTCGGGTATGGAAGGATTGTCTATGGTTTCCCCGTATGTGCTATGTGCTGTTCCAGAAGGCATGTGATACACTTTCTGCTCTCCAGGAGCTCCCGGACCATGAAGGAGATAAAGGCGCACAGAGACTCAGGGACAGTCATGCCTCATGCAGCAAGGTGAGTGCCATATAGGAGCCTATACCTGTGTGTGTGTGTGTGTATGTGTGTGTGTGTGTGATGTGGGGCAGGGAGGGCTTCTCACAGAAGGCAGCACTGAAATCAAACCTCAAAAAACAAAACTATTTTAGCAAATGAGAAGTGGGGAGGGCAGACTGGGGAGAAGGACCAAGGCCAAGTCCACAGGGCATTTCTGAGACGTGTGATGAGAGTTTCCGGTGCATAACCAGGGTGGAGAGTCGGGGAGAGCTGGAGGGGTGGGTGGATGGGTGACAGGAGTGGCGGGTTGGAAGTGAGGGCTGGCGCCAAGTTGAATAGAGCCCTTTAACACCAGGATGAGACTCTGGAGGTGTCCTGGGTGGAGGCCGGAGGAGGAAGCTGCTGTGCGTGGTGGAGCGTGTGACCAGGGCGTCTCCCGGGGCCTCATGGGGCTGAGTGAGAGGAGCTACGGCATTCACTAGGCTCTGCCCCTCTGCGAGCCACCCCATGGAGCTCTCTGCACGGGATTCTCAGATTCTCGGCTTTAACCCTCACCCTCCACAAAGTGGCACAACAATCCCCCACATTGCAGGTCAGGGAACTGAGGCCCAGACCTGAGCCCAGGCGGGCTGGTCTGGCCCCTTGCTGTAACTTCTGTGTCCTACTACTGTCAAGAGAGCCCAGGAAGGAGTTGTGATGTCTGAAGGAGGCCGAGGCTGTGGGTGGAGGCTGAGGTCTCCAGGCTGGGAAGTGAGGAAATGCCCAGGAAAACCTGCTCTCTGGGAGACCTCACTCCCTGCTGTCACCATGTGTTCACCGAGAGATACCTCTCTGGGCCTGTCCTGCTGCCTCAAGCCTGGTCCAGGAAAACACTCGAGAGCAAACTGCCTACTACAGACCTGGGAGAAGGAGGCAATGACATTCACCCTCTCTCTGGGAAACTTCACCATTGGACTTGGGTGCTTATAACCTTCCACTGAGAACATTGCTGGCTAGGAGCCGTGGCCATTCCTGCCTGTTGAGAGCCCAGAGGGGCTTGTGTGCCTTCTGATGGCTCATGCTCACCGCCCTCTTGGGCGTAAAGCAGCTGGAGTGGGAATGAGAGTGGTGATGGGGCACAGGGGTCCGCAGGCCAAGTGCAGCAGGTGCACAGGCCGCTCAGGTGCTCATGACCCAGGGGTAAAGCGGTGGGCTGGGGCCAGCAGGAGAGGGCAGGGGCATAGCTCCTTCCACATCTCCAGGCTGGGGCACTTGGCTGCACTTCCCAGGCCTCACGACGACCCAAGCTGCTTTCCAAGTGCCCCTGAGTTGCTGTTCCTTAATAATCTCCATGGCTATAAAAGGCTGGTTCGGCTCGGAGGAGGTGCCTGGCCCCAGGAAGTATCACACTGAGTGTCAGAAGAACACAGCCCAGAGAAGGGGCAGAGGACAGGGCAGGGTGGGACCTTCAAGCCAGCCTGGGGAGGTTGGCTCTGGGCAGCCTGGCCCACCCTGGCCTGATAGGACCCCAGGGTCCCGACCCTGAGCCCCGCTGGCCAATGTTCACGGCCATGCCCAGGGTTAACACACTGTGGAAGGAAGGTAGCAGGCCTCAGGAAGAGCAGGATGTAGGCCAAGGGTTGGGGTGCAGGTCTGTGTAAATACACCCAGAAGATAATGCACGAACAGTCTCTCCTCCTCCATTTCAAACCACGCCTGAGATGTAAAGTGGGTTATTGTGTCCCTCTGTAGTGGCTCCCACTCGTCCCAAGGGAGCACATTGTTATAGGGGCAGTTCCCCAGAAACCCATTCTCAGAGCAGCTGGGTGCCCAGGGTTGGGAGAGGAGAGGGCTGGAATCCTGCTTCTCTGGGTTTGAACTTCAGCTTGGGAACTCACGCGCTGACTGAAGGAAATAACTTCTCTGCTCTTCCTTGGTTTCCTCATCCGCCAAACGAGGGTAATAACAGGATCTACTTCTCAGGATTCGTGGAAGAACTAAATCTCTGTGTAAGGCCCCCAGCCCAGAGCCTGCCACACAGTAGGCGCTCAGTGAACGCACCCATAAGCTGTAGAGCAACCTCTCCCGCCCTCTGGTTCTGCAGGCGGAGATGAGAGGCTTTCTCATCCCGGACTTGCCCTGTGGAAACTTCTCGCAGACGCTGGTGTGCAGCCCGAGCTCACTGTAAGTCCTTCCCTCTTTTCTTTCTGTCCCTTGCCCAGACTGCTCAGAGGGTCAGAGCCAAACTTGACGCTTATCCCAGCTCTTGGGCCACGGCTGTCTTTGACGTTCTGTTAGATCAACCGTGTTGTATGCGTGTAATTTGTTGCAACCTGTCTCAAATTCCTTTTGGAGAAAGGCCAGGGGCAAACAAACCATACTCACAAACCTATGGTCTCTGCCACAAAACTCTTTTCCTCTCGAAGGCCTAAATCCCCTGGCTTGCAAGGTACCCTGAGCTGCCAGCTGGGAGCTGTGTGGTCCCCTGGCCCCTGCTCCCCACTGTTCCTGAGACACAGGGCACTGTGCCTGCCACGGACGCTTTCCGAGCCTGAGCCAGTTGTTGAGTGAGATTCCAGCTCTTGGATTCTCTCAGGCGCCTTCCCCATGCCCTCCCTCTGCCACTGGGTTGGTGCCAACCGCCCTCAGCGTGCCCCTCCTGCCTCCCTCCCCTGGGCCAAGCACATGGGGAAGAAGTCTCAGTGGGCATCATTTGCAGGTCACCTGCCAGGGGCGGCTTCACTATTGCACACTCCCTTAAGAGGCAGGGCCTGTCATTATGCTCGCTTTATGGGTGGAAAATTAACACTAGGAAGTGGAATAACTTGCCCAACCAAGGTCAAGTTGGTGGCAGTGCTGGGAATAGAACCCAGGTGGACTCACTTGGACCAGCACTGATACCAGCTAGCCTTGGCCTCACTGCGACAGCTCTTCTGCTACTTCAGGCTCTGTGACTATCTAGAACAAAAGCCCTGCAGAGGAATTTAAACAAGCACACAGATCCAAAATATTTTTTGAGCATTGAACCAGAACTTGGCATTGGGCTGGGGACAGTGGCCAAGGCTGTTCGATGCCCAGTACTTTTATTGAGCACCTACTGTGTGCCAGGCAGCATGCTAAGCACCTTCTATTTGAAGCTCCCTGGACACATGGTGCTGGTTTCACCCCTCCATGCCCTTGCTTGCTGTTCCCTCTACCTGGATCTTGTTCGTCCTCTTTTTCATCTCACTCCTAGGAGTTCAGATTAAACTCAACAACTGCCCTAGGAAACCTGAATTCCCACAGTGCTTGGAGCATCCACGGCTGCTCAAAGGGCCTATTTTTGAAGGCCTTTTAGACAGAGCAGTCTCTTTGGACACAGATTATGCTTTATATAGGCTTGCACTTCCCGCAGGTGGAATAGCACCAAGCACATGGCAGTTTGCACATGTTTGTTTTACCTAAAGCAGGAGTGGGCAAACACCAGCCCATGGGTCACATCCAGTCTTTGGCCTGTTATTGTATAGCACCTGAGTTAAGAATGATTTTTGCATTTCCAAAGGGTTGTAAATAAATAAAACAAAAGCAAAAACAACTCGCAGGCATAGCACATGGTCCTGTAAAGCCTGGGATATTTACTATCTGGCCTTTTATGGAAAAAAATACATCAACTCCTGCTGTGGCATCCTGCTGAAACTAAGCCTGGGGTGGGAGGGGCAGTGGAGCCAGGGGCACATGTGAGGGCTGGGCTGATCCAGGGGGCTTCTCTCCCTGCTGGGGAAGGGCAGGCACCCCCAGGAACAGGAGCAGAGCAATGGATGCCCACAGGCAGCTGGGACAGAGGACAGCTGGAGAGAGACTTCGCGGAGGGAGCTGAATGTAAAGGGTGAGTCAGGGGCCCACCCCAGCCTGTGGCACGGTGGGCTGAATGCATCTTGCAATAATCCTATATCGATAGCTGCTTTGAGTCCCTGCTCTTCTGCTTCCAATCCAGTGCTCTGCAAATGCTCTGGATAATGGCCCAAGTACTCAGGCCCCTGCCAGTCAAGTGTGGAGACCCGGATGGAGTTCTAGGCTGTTGGCTTTGGCCTGGCTTAGGCCCAGCTGTGGCAGCAATTTGGGGAGTCAACCAGCAGATGAAAATATTTCTCTCTCTTCCTCACTCTGCCTTTCATATAAAGTAAATCTTTTAAAAAAAGGGTGAGCATGGTTTCCAAAGTCATCATAAATAAGAGCTATTTCCCGCTGAAGAAATGAACCTAAAACCTGAATGAAATAGAAGGCTCTGTATAAAGAAGACTGTACCTGAGCAATTGGAGGAGCAATTATGGAGGGTTTGGAGAGGGCACGTCAAAAACCTTATGGAAATCGGAATGAAAAGATAAGATTATTTTGGTATAAAAATGCTAAAATCTATGGATACAAAGGGTCTTCAGAAAGACTGAGGGGCCGGGACTGTGGTGTATCGGGTAAAGTCTCCACCTGCAGTGCCTGTATCCCATATGGGACGCGCTGGTTTGAGTCCCGGCTGCTCTACTTCCGATCCAGCTCTCCGCTATGGCCTGGGAAAGCAGTAGAAGATGGCCCAAGTCCTTGGGCCCCTGCACCCACATGGGAGACCCAGAGGAAGCTCCTGGCTCCTGGCTTCGGATCAGTGCAGCTCTAGCCGTTGTGGCCAATTGGGGAGTAAACCAACAGATGGAAGACCTCTTTCTCTCTATCTCTCTCTCTACCTCTCCTTCTCTCTCTGTGTAACTCTTTCAAATAAATAAATCAACCTTAAAAAAAAAGGTTGAACAAAACATGAACAGTGAAAAAGTATGTGAGCACCTGCTTAGGGAGGTGACACATAACGAGTTTCTCAAGTGCAAACATTGGTGGAGGCAAGAACAAGAGCAAACAGTCTCCTGCTAGGCCAATCGCAGGCACTAGATCAGAGACAGGTGGCCAACAGCCCCAGAGGGTCGTCACCACCACAGGCTCCTATGGAACTGCAATGCATCTCTCCACCCGTGCTCCAGTCCCTGTCCCAGCTTGGTACCACGTTGATGCTTCCTGGAGTC